CTGGGGCAGTCTCCCAAGGCCACCAGAGTAGGGGAGTAGGGGGATGCGGATGCTGACACAGACCTTGCTTGTCTGAAGCTTCATTGGGCCTTCAAAATGGACAAAACTTATGGGGCAAAGGCACTTGATTAAGCAAAATTTCACTTAACTGACATCTCACAACGTCCCATCCAGCACTTGAACGGTGGCAATTAGTTGGTGATTGAGGTGTCTCTGTGGCTGGCGCTCCGGGATTGATGAAATAGCTACAAGGGCTATTTGACTTGAAGATTCCTTTATTAAAAAGTATGAAATCATCCCCCAACCCTGCAGTGATGCCTCTGAAGTAGAAAACAAACGAAGCAAACAAAACTGGGTGGATTCCTTAGCACTCCCAGCCGAGTCGGCCGCCTCAAAGAGCAGGAGGGTCTGGCAAAGTGCGCTTCTTGTCCCTTCGCTCCCCCAGACCCAGAATGACACCTCCTCCTCCTAGGAAGACTTTGGGATTCATGGCCCCCCTCTGGATCTGGAGGAGGTTTAAGTCCTAAGGGCAAAGGAGGGCTATTGAGGGCCTGAGCAGGGGTGAGAGGCATATTCAGTCAACATATGTTCCCTGGGGATCTACTGTGTGCCAGCTCCTGGAAGCACATTCCTGCCCTCAAGGGGCTTGCCATCCGCTGGAGGAGACAGCTGTGGGGAGGAGGTGGGAATAAATCTCAGTGTATTAACGAGGGTGCATGGAAGGTATTTTTAAGACACAGCAGGGGCAGAAGAAAAGGAATGGCATGGTAACAGATGAATTGGGGGCAGGTTGGATCAGCAGAGGACTCAGACTGTAGGCCCAGAGCAGCCACTGCAAATGAATGCAGGCCACCAGATGGTGTGGGGGGAGTGGGGTATTGGGGGTCTGGTTAGTGCCCACACCACCTGGAGGGGCCCTGATGCTCAGCTCTTGCTTACTGTTTCATGCGGGATACCAGCCCAGTGTTGTCAGATCTATTGATATTTTTTGAGCTTTTTTTTTAGAGCAAAATTGAGAGGATTTTCCCCAAGAAATCTGAAATCTGTATTTTTATGTATAATCCTTTTTGTTTTTTTGCTAGGAAAGATTCACTCTGAGCTAACATCTGTTGCCAAGCTTTCTCTTTTTTTTTTTCTCCCCAAAGCCCCAGTACATAGTCGTATATTCTAGTTGTAAGTCCTTCTAGTTCTTCTATGTGAGCCGCCGCCACAGCATGGCTACTGACAGATGAGTGGTGTGGTTCCATGCCCGGGAACTGAACCTGGGCCACCGAAATGAAGCACACCAAATTTTAACTCCTAGGCCATCAGGGCTGGCTTTGTACAGTCCTCTTTAAAACCAAATAAAACTATATGTGGGAGGCAAAACAGGTGTGCAGGCCACCAATTTGCAACCTGTGGGCGAGAGGAGGAGAAAAGCCCAGTGAATTGGAGGGTGAGTAGGGTCACCTTGACTTGAGGGGGTGGGAATGGGCTAGAGAAGTTCTCAGGGCACTCCTCCCCGCCAGGGGCTTCCCGACCTGTCCCTCCCCCCGAACTCCTGGGTCACCAGTGAACTCCTTTCCTTCCCCACCTCACCAAAGTGGACTTAGCCATCACTACCTCCTTCTGGAAGCCTCCCACAATCAGTCTGCTACTTGGCTCAGGGGAAATTCTCCATCCTTACAGAGGTGTCCTGGGAAGGCCCTACCACTGGCCACCAGGAAACCCCACAAAAATCAGGGCGCCATGCCTCTTTTCACGGTTCCTCCACAGTGCCTGGTAGTAACCCCCGCCTCGTCCTGCACTCTTGGGGGTGGAGGACCGGTGGGGTAGACTGAGGGGCAGGTGAGCTGGTGCCTGGAGACTGGGTTTCCGGGCTTCTAAGATGGCAGCAGGGAGGATGCCCTGCTGGGTCCACATCACCTGCCGTTGCCCCAGCAAGAAGCTCCTACCCTCTGCGTGTCCCAGCAGGGACAGGAGAGGGAGCAGCCTGAACAGGGAACTGAGAGCCGCAGGCAGGTGTGTGAGCTTGAGTGTTCCTGGCAGGGAGTCAGATCTGATCAGGCATGGTGCCTGGGTGTGGACAGCATCAGCCTGAGGTCACCCACCTCGGTCTCCTGGACTGGCATGGCTGGGGACAGGTAAAGTGGAGAGGAGGGTGGTGATGGCAGCTGTGCTCCCCTCTGAGTTGGGGTTCAGGGCTGGCAGGTGGGCAGAGTCAGGTCTCATCAGGATCTCAGCTAGCTCACCCATACTGGACAATGCGGCCCCAGCGTCCCAACTCCCCTTGCGGGGAGTGGAGAGAAAGGTTCAGTGAGAATGCATCCTGCAGGAGGGATGTTTAACCTACCTGTAAAACACAATGACTTTCAAGGGCTGTTTAGCATATCTGTTTTACTTACCAGTGTGCTAATTATGTGCTGTTCTTATCTGTGCATTACAGTGGGTCCCTACCATGATAGTCTCTACTGAGCTATCCTAAATCTGTTCTCCCAGTTTTCCCTAGGTGGCCACATTCTGTGTTCCAAGTCATAAGAGAGCCACAGGGATCCCACCCCACTGTCAGTGAGGCCCAGGCTGGGTGTGGCATAATTATGAGGGGAGCCAAGTACTTTACGGGCCTTCCAGAACCTACACCACTTCCCCTCTTCCAGACACCCTTGCACCCCTGGCCCGTTTGGGGCAAGTAGCCAGGTGGTAGACCAGGGAAGAACCGACGGACATTAGCCATGACCACACGCAATCACACAGAGCCAGAGGCAGGTGTGGGGACTCCCAGGCGAGGACAATGCCTTACTGGCTCTCTCAGAGATCCCTAGCGCTGCACCTCTTCTATAGGTTTTTCCCTCGACTGTTGTAAAGATGAGAGGCTGTAAGTCTAAAAACAATCTTGCCATTGGAGAGGAAAAACAAGTCTTGGAGGTAGAACAGGATGTCTTTCCTCAGAGCGAGGTGTGTCCACACCTGAGTAGGGACTGCCCTGGACTGCCCCCTCCTTACTGTCAGATAGGGCAGAGCCCAGCTGGCCCCTCCCTCAGGGGAGCCCCTGGCACTCATCCTCTGAGCCAGGGTCCTCTCACTGATCAGCACCAACTGCCTGAGAGTGCCCTGGGGCTGATAGAGGGCTCAGACCTCCGGCTCCCAGGCCTGGGCCGGGAAGAGCTAACCACAGCTCACCGTGCCTCTGGATTTCCACCTGGTGCCTGCACCCTGGCTAGCTCTTTAGGGCTCTGACCTCAGCCCAGGCCCAAGGGGACCTCCCCACACTGCAGAGCATGCATCGTAGGCTTGGCCCGGCCCATCCTGATAGCATCCCCAGCATCCGCTCCAGACTGGCCTGCACAGTCTGTCTGCCCACTGCTGGGGCTGGACACACCTCCTCTGGCCCCTCAGCCAGGGAGTGGGTGCTGCCAGGCTGCTGGTCAGGCCCTGCTAGGCCCCCATGTGAGGCGCAGAGACCCTCCCCACAGGCCCTGGTGGGCTGTCATTTGGCCTCAATTGAAATGTGCAGCAGGAAGGCCCCTGAGGAGTGATATCCTTGCTGTGCCACCACCACCAGCCCCCCTGCTCTGAGCGAGGGGTGTGAATCCAGTTGCAGTGATCTCCCGACCTTGAGCTGCTGTGGGGGACAAAGCGAAGCAGCGACTCAGGGACAGCTCCGACTCAGGGCTACCCACCTGGCAAACACTGGAATCTGGGTTGGGGGTCACATGACCATGATGCATGTCCAGTGCCTTGGTGCTTACCAAGGGCTTTCACGTTCCCCATCTTGTTGAAGCTCTACAGCCCGCGGTGAGGTAGGTGAAGACTATCAGACCCATTTTACAGATGAGGTAGATAGGCTCAGAGAGGCAAATGGACTTGCCCAGGGTCACACAGCTACTAAATAGCAGAGCCAGGTATAGCCCGGAAATCACACACATGGGGGGGCAGGGCGGCACAGATTCTGCGACTTTGGGCCGGTTACTTAACCTCTCTGAACCTCAGTCTTCTGATTTGAAAAAGGGGGCTAGTAGTAGTCCCTATCTTGTCAGGTTATTGTGATGATTAAATGAGATAGTGCTATAAAACATACTCGGCATAGTAGTGGCGTAGAGACCTGCTCAATAAATGTGAGCAATGACTGTGATTACTAATCCCAAGGATATTCAGATGCTGTCCCTGTGTAGGGCATGCCCCAGATGAAGCCCTGGTACCTCTAGGCTCCCATCTTGCCTCTGTTGTGTCATTCAAGACCTGCTAAGGTGGGCTTAGGTTCCGGTGTGGAGAAGCAGGGCAGAGTAGGGCCATTGGACTCGTCTCCGGGGCTGCTTGCCTGGTGAGGGGGGCCGAGAGCGTGTCTACAGCCCTGGCTCACAGCCCCAGCAGGTCTTCCGTCTGATTTCTCACATGGACATCAGATATGCTCAGGGCCAAGCCAGTGGCTGGCTGAGCCTTTGCCCTGAGTCTGATTCCTAGAGGACAAGGCTGAGCACAGGAGCTGAAAGGATTGGGAGTGGTCCTGGGTCTCCAGACAAACCCCTGCCCAGCCCAGCCTGGTCCTCCAAGGTCTGTGGAAGCCGGACTCCCCAGCACGGAGGCCCACCCACGGGAGCAGCTTGCACCTTCTCTGTGTCCTGGGCAACCCTGAGAGGGAGGGGGTGGGGTAGGGCTGTGTATATCCAGGTAAGTTTGCCTTTGGGAAGGAGAGGCAAAGTCTACTAGGAGTAGAAGGCATAGGGGTGCAAGGGAAACTGCCCGGCTGGAGCCAGGCCACACCCAGGCCCTCAGTCTTGCAGTCTCCAGATCACACCGACTGTCAGCCCTGCCTTTGGACACGGCCCCTCCAGAGCCTGCCTCCTGCTGATGAATCCCCCAGGTTAGACCTTCCCGCCTAACGCACACACCTCTGGACGCCCCCTGGAGGAGGCCTGCAATGGGAAGGAAGGGAGGGCCGTTCTGGTCACACTTCCGGGGACCTGGGGGTGCGTGGGCAACTCCTGGCCTGAGATGAGCTCCGCGAAAGCTGTGGGTCCTTCGCATTTTTAAATTTTATTATGACTGCGTTTGTTAAATATAGATATATGTATTTATAGCCCTGTGCCCCCCGCCCCCGGCCCGCGCCCTAGTTCTTCCCCCGGCCCTTCCGCCTGGCGGCCGTGTAGGGCAGCGCCGTCTGCGTGCTCTTGTCCGACACCGTCTGGGTGCTGCTGTTCCTCGTGACCCTGCGGGTCTGCTCGGGGGCCAAGGTGGGGCCTGAGCGGCGGCCGGCCAGCGGAGAGCGCCTGGGCTTGTAGGGCTCCGGGGAGGGCTTGAGGGGGCCCGCGTGGGCCTCCGTGCGCGGAGGCTCCGGGGACGGGTCCGCCTTCTCCTCGGCCGTCGCCGCCTCGCCGTCGCCCTCCTCGTCGTCACAGCACAGAGCGTGGTACAGCACTTTGTCGCTGAAGCGCACCCTCTCCCGCGTGCCCGGGGTCCGCTGGGGCAGCGGGCCTCTGGCAGGGCCCGCGCTGAAGGCCTCCTCGCTGGAGGAGTCGGGGGTCTCCACCCGCGGCCCGTTGGGGATGGGCAGGCCGCCGTTCATGAGCCGGTAGTCAGGGCCAGCACCCGGCCGCGCGCACTCGGGGCCGTCCACGGAGTCCGAGGGCGTGGAAACGTCCAGGAAGGAGCAGAACTCCCAGCTGTCCGAGAGGATGTCGGCTGTCATGAAGTCCAGGTGGCCCAGGTCAAAGGGGCCGCCCACGCCCGCCTTGTCGCTGCTGGAGGTGCTGCTCACAGTGGCCGTGGTCCAGTCGTCTGGCTCCAGTTCAAAGTCGAAGTCTGAGGTTAGCTTATCGATCTGGCTCACCACCTGCCAGGGAAGGGGAGAGAATGAGAGGGGCCAGCCTCACCTAGGAGTGAGTGTGCCCCCTCACACCCTGCTAGACCACCTGGCTGCTGACCCTACAGGACGGTGACTGGACTTGAGGTCACATGTTTGTTTGCCCTGTTGAGGGCCCAAACTGGACCAGGCTGAACAGAGCTTGTTCCAGCCATTCCCCCGTTTTTCATTCCTTAGTCCTTCCAGGGGAGGGGAGACTGCCTTCCAGCCCTGCACCCCACCCCTTCACACACCTCTCTCCCCTAAAGCCAGCTGCTGTTCTGGGGGCAGCGCTCAGAGCTTGATCTTCCTTTGATCGAGAGGGGGCCATTTAAAGAGGGCTGAGGGACTTCAGCAAGTCCACTCAGGGGAGAAATGAGCAGCCCACCCACCCTCCGAGAGGAAATGATATGGGGCGACCATGAGGAAGACTGCCCAGGCTTTCTTTTTTTTTTTTTTTTTTTATTTATTTATTTTTCCCCTAAAGCCCCAGGCGATAGTTGTATGTCATAGTTGCACATTCTTCTAGTTGCTGTATGTGGGACGCGGCCTCAGCATGGCCGGAGAAGCAGTGCGTCTGTGTGCGCCCGGGATCCGAACCCGGGCCGCCTGCATCGGAGCGCACGCACTTAACCGCTAAGCCACGGGGCCGGCCCATGCCCAGGCTTTCTAAAGCATCCTGGACCAACCCCTGCAGCTGGTCAGCAACTGTCCCCCATGGGTCTCCACCGGCCCTTCAGGACAAGATCACCAGGTTACTCTCCCCTTCCACCTCCCCACTCCCACACACCCTGGAGCCTCTTCCCTTCCGACTTCCCTGTCCCCTGATGAGTGGAGATCAATCCTGGCTTGTTGGAGAAGGAATGACACAAGCATGATTTGGTAGGCAATAAGGAAGCCATCCTTCCTGGGCCCGGAGCTGCTTGTTAAATGCACTCGGGGGGCAGCTCAGCTGCAGAGGTCACTGCACCCCACCCACTCCACTCCAGCGCTGCCTCAGGACACCCCAAGGTGCCTAGGCCACTGCCAGCATGTAAATCAGGGATGAAGACAGTGAGGGGGAAAAGGGAGACCCAGGCAGAGACATGGGGAGAGGACAGAGCAAGAGGACGGAGAGAAGACTCAGCCAAAAACAAAAACAGCAAAATAGCAACAAAACCCAGTGGAGGTACTGAGAGGAGAGCAAGACACACACAGTGAATCATCAAGCCCAGGAGCCAGCTCCCAGCGCCTCTCCAGTGTTCTTTACCTGGGGTCAGGGCGGTCAATTAATTATTAACTAATGAAGTCCCTAAGTCAACAAACCTTTCCTGAGGACTAGAGACGGCCCTCCGAATGCAGGGAACCCGTGGATTCAACCAACCGTGGATAGAAAGGCCTCTGAAGGGTGCATCTGTACTGAACATGTACAGACTTTTTTCTTGTCATTATGCCCTAAATAATACAGTATAACAACTATTTACATAGCATTTATATTCTATTAGGTATTATAAGTAATCCAGAGATGATTTAAAGCATGTGGATGTGCGTAGGTTACATGCAAATACTATGCCATTTAATATAAGGGACTGGAGCATCCTCAGATTTTGGCATCTGCGGGGGTCCTGGAACCAATCCCTCTTGGATAACGAGGGTGATGGTACTGCTGTCCAGGGATGTGCTAGATGTTGAGGGAGGAGTGGGGGTGGTGAGTGCCCCAAAGTGAAAGAGGAAAGCAAGGGCAAAGATGCTCAGTTAGGAGGAGACTGGGTCAGCGGGACGTCTACTTGATCAGGAGTCAGGACGTCTGGTGCAGGTGACCTGGTCAGCCATTTTCCTTCTCTAGGTCTCAGTTTCTCAATCTGTAAACGGGGAGTTGGGTGAACTAGTTTATCCCCAAGGTTCCTTCCACCTCTGAGATTCTAGGACTCTGTGTTTACAGGAGCGACATGAGAAGCTATTTTGGGGTGTTGATGCCTAGAGATGCCCACTCTCCACAGCTCCAGGCCAGGGCAGGAGGGAACACTTGGCCCTGGTTTGCAGAAGATCTGGGGGAGTCAAGACACCGGGGTTCTAGACTCAGCTTAGACGTTGCTCTGTGTGTCTTTGGGTAAGTCACATAACCTCTCTGGACCTCAACTTTCTTTGCCACCAAGTGGGTGTGATAATCCCAGCCCTGCCAACCTCACCAGAGCTTCATGAGGAACAATGAGAGGGGCAGTGAAAGGGCTCCGTGGGGCACTGGTGATAAAAGTGACAGCATCTTCCATTTCTGAGCACCTACTGTGTGTCAGGCTTTCCCCCCGTGAGAGCATCATCTCCTGAGTGTATGGATGCTGGGCCTGAGGCACCAGTCATGGGGAGCTGAGATCCAGCCTCCGCCACTCCCCTGCATGTCTGCACATGGCTGTGAGGTGCTGCTGTGCTTCCTGGGCTGGGGCAGGCAGTGGGGATAGGGCCCCACCCTCCAATCTGGCTCCCCTTCTTATGCCACCCCCTTCGCCCCCCTCCCCGAATGACTGCCCCTACCTCAGAGAAGCTCTCCTCTCCCAGAAGCACTTCCTCAACCCAGGCCCACCTGAGGGCAGGTGGGACCCCTGGCCTGGAGTAGAGGCTCTCAAACTGGAGTGTGCATTGGCCACTCCCCGGAGTTTCTCCTTCAGTAGGTCCAGGGTGGGGCTCAAGAAGGTACATATCTAACAAGCTTCTAGCTGCTGCTGCTGCTGCTGGTCCGGGGACATACTTTGAGAACCACTGGCCTAGGGTCCTGGGATTTAAGCCAGTGAAGAAATAGCACCTCAGGGCATTGCCTGCCTTAGGAGAGGCCCTGTGCCTTGGGGGCAGCCACGGCCCCCAATTAGACTCCCCCAGTCCAGTCAGCTGTGAGCGCCTGCTGCTGCGTAAGCGGGGACAATGCTAGTGGGAATTTGGAGTAAAATGACTTGGCTGTGACCTCAGGGTTGGCTGAGGCCAGGGCAGGCCCAGAAGCTGGGCTCCTAATGCCCTGTGAGGATGACCGTGGGTGCACAGGAGCCCTAAAGCCTGCAGGCTAGACACACTCCCCCAGCCAAGAAGTCCTTGCGGGCCACCTGCTCAGGCGGCCTTCACATTCGGTCCTCCCCCTCCTCCCGTAGAATGGCCCTCTCTGGTTCTATCCTGGGAGTGTGGAGGGGAGGGAGAGAGGGAGGTCTGGGTTCAGGTCTCAGATTGCCCTGTCTTGGCTAAGGGACGTGAGGCAGGTAACTTCCCCTCCCCATGTCTTGGTTTCCTCCCCTATAAAATGGGATGACAGTCCTCTACTCACCAAGTGACGGGGATTCAACAGACGTGAACGTACTTTAAACTGCAGTCAGCACAGCCAAGCACTGAAGAACCTGGGCTCTGGAGTCAGACCTGGGGTCCAACCTGGGCCTTACTACTTACGGGCTGTGTCACTTAGCCAAGTTACCTTCTCTGTGCTTAAGTTCTTCACCAAAAGAGAATTCTAGTAGTACCTACTTGATAGGGCTGTTGTGAGGATTTAATGACCTGATGCAGGGAAAGCATGTAGAACCACGCAGACTACCAATGCTACTGTGCACCAGCGGGTGCTAAATCGTGACCAGGCCCCCAGCACCAGGCCCAAGAGCTGATGGGAGTCAGTTCTTCACCAAAGGAATGACACTCTGATGGGGACATTTCCAGTGCCTGTGGCAGAATAATGGGACATATTGGGCCTTTCAAACCCCAGCACATGGGTGGAACCTATGTTCCCTAACATAGGGCTATCTCCAGACAGAAGAGGTTCTAAAAGCCAAATGGCTGGGGCTTATAGGCAAATCTGGCCCAGTCCATTAGGTGGGACAGGTCACACCCACTAGATGAATGACATAAGTGAGGATCAGACAGGGAAGTGATGTGCCAAGGGTACCCAGATGGTATGCAGGGCCTGGGTCCGTCCACAAACCCCACTGCCCATCCCTGGTGCCTCTTTCACGGGGCCAGTGGGGAGGGCAGGTGGGGGCAGGCCCCATGCTACCTGCCTTGCTGCATTGGATGTCTTGAAATCTGTGATTTTTCTCTGAGATTTAATAATCATTTTGCCTACATGTAATTTGGGATTGTCTTGGAGTGCAGGGAAATAATTATATACACAGAAGGAAAGAGATGGGGAGAGAAATGAAACCATAAAAATCACAGAATCATAGAACCTCAAAGCCAGAAGGGACTGGAGACACTGTTGAGTCCACCCTTCTCATTGTGCTTGCTGATGGGGAAACTGAGGCCCAGAGACTGGAAGGAGCTGAGCTGAGACCAGAAATCAGGAGTCCTTACTCCTGGGCCTGGCACTTTAAGAACAAGAATTACCTGCTCTAGAGGGGGCAAGAGGGAACACTAGAGAGGAAGGGCAGGGCTGAGGGCTGTGACAGAACCTGCCGGGGGTCCCAGGCCTTGTCCCAAGGGTGTCCCTAACCTCTGTCCTGGTCACAGCCTCAGCTCCCCTGGCCTGAACAACTGCACCCATCTAGTCTTCCCCCTGACAGCAGCTTCCTTCCCGCTCCTGTGGCACCCTGCCTCCAGGGAACTTCCTAATCACCAACAGGATCACGTCCCCCCTCTGCTTCCAGCACTTCCCTGCTCCCCAAATTCCTGAGCCCTTCAAACACAACCCCACTGAATCTGGCCAGGGGCCCTTTGCTCTCCAGCAAGCAGCCTCCACCCTGCCAGGCCTGCCCCTCACCAGCGCTTCACACTCCACCGAGCTCACTTCTGCCTCTGGGCTCACCTGAACGCCTCCCTCCTTTCCTGCTCACTGCATCTCCCTCCATCAGGAAGCCTTCCCTGATCCCCAGATGAGGACAGACTCCCTACGAAAGGCTCTCAAAGCACCCTGCCCCTCTTCTTGAAATATCTTCCAGTATTTATCACCCCTGCTACAACTGTATGTGTGTATATGTTATAACGTGATGGATGTCTGTCTCCCTACTGGACAGTGGGACAAGGTCTGAATGCCCACCGTTGCATCCCGAGTT